GATGAAACTTCAGAGTGAAACAGAAACTTCCTCTTCGTCTGTTTTGATGAAAGTGGATTTTGTCGGTGCGTCTGCAGATCTCTGCTGTTTCTTCTTCTTCTCTTTAAATTCAGACTCTCAGCAGGAACAGCTCTTTCTGCTGTTTCTGCTGTTTCTGCTCACCTGCCTGCAGCCTCACACTCCTCTGCTGTCAGCGCAGAGCCGCACTAAAACAAAGCCGAGACCGTCTGAAGACAGAAACAAGTGCTGGTTCCTGTGTAACCCCCGGGAAATCCCCCCTACGACAGGAGCTCTTTATTAGAGGCGCTCAGGCGGCAGAGATTTATTTCACACTTCCAAAAAATATGTCCTACCGAGGGGCGAAGGAGCAAAACAAGGGAGGAAAGCTTTTTACAGGAAACCTCCCACAGACCCACTCACTCTCACAGGTGGAAACATTCTCTTTGTGCTGCAGGGTCCAGGTCAGGACTCCAGACCAGACCCCCAAATCCACCTTTTTATGTAGCCGCTCAGCTGGACCCTCGTGTAAAACCGGAATAACAAAGAGTGGTCGGACCTTCCCGGTCCACAGCAGCTTCAGATGGAGCAGCAGGAGGTGATGGTGGTGGTGGTGGTCATGGAGGATCACATGATCACATGACACACACAAACAACAGACAGGTCTACAGACGGGGACGCTTGGTCATGACCAGCTGCAGGAGGAGACGTTACCATGGGAACAGTCTGCAGGGAAACATGACTGTCATCTGTGAATCACGCCGTCGTGATGATGATGATGATGATGAGCGCTGAGGTCTGCGGTACCGTCCAGGTCCAGTTTATACTCCCTCAGTGGGTCTGCTGGTAGAGTTCTTCAGGAACCCGGACCTCAGAACCGTCCACCATGTCAGCTGGATCACCTCTACGACATCCTGAACCCCCAAAGAAAGAAAGACAATGATTGAGCAACCTAGAAGCCCCGCCCACTCAGGTCACTGTGTGGTTAACGAGCCTTGGACCCGAGAGGCTGCAGATCCCCCACAGAACCTTTGTGGGTTCTGTGAGTTCTTGTCACAGACCGAGTCCGGGTCGGCGTCGCATTTATCCGACTCTCTGTGTTCTGATGAGCCTCAGGGGGCGGAGCTGCTCTCTGCTGGGCTGTCAGCGCCGAAAGAACGAACTCTGTTAGTCAAACGACTTCTTATTCTGTACACACACACACACACACACACACACACACACACACACACACACACACACACACACAGACACACACACACACAGACACACACACACACACACACACACAGACACACACAGACACACACACACACACACAGACACAGACACACACACAGACACACACAGACAGACACACACACACACAGACACACAGACACACACACACACACTCTCACACACACACACACACACACTCTCACACACACACACACACAGACACACACACACACACAGACACACACAGACACACACACACACACACACACACACACACACACACACACACAGACACACACACACACACAGACACACACAGACACACACACACACACACACACACACAGACACACACAGACACACACACACAGACACACACAGACACACACACACACACAGACACACACAGACACACACACACACACACACACAGACACACACACACACACAGACACACACACACACACACACACACACACACACACACACACACACACACACACACAGACACACACACACACACACACACACACACACACAGCCCGCTCTCAGGCGTGTCAGTCTCATTAACACCGACGTCTTTATTAAGGTGACATCAGCCGAGCTCCTCATTACAGAGCGGCGCTCAGGTTTGAATCACTTCACCTCTCTGTCAGCGATTAATCAGGTCTGACTCTCGTTACCTTTTTTTTACCTGGAGGAGGAGTCAGCGAGGGGTCATGGAGGAGCCGAGGTCATGTGACAAACACGGAGGAGGTACAAAGAGGAGGCCTTTAAAAGAAGACCAGAGTTTTAGAGGACCACGGAGGACCACGGAGGACCACGGAGTACCAGAGAACCAGGGTACCACAAAGAACCAGAGTACTAGAGTACCAGAGTTTTAGAGGACCACGGAGGACCACAGAGTACCAGAGAAGTTCACACTTTTTTAATCTCAGATTTATGTAGGAGGTTCTTCTGTGTGCACGTACACACACACCCTGTCTGTCCTCTCTCAGACCGTGCACGTACACACACACCCTGTCTGTCCTCTCTCAGACCGTGCACGTACACACACACACTCTGACATCTGCTCACAGCGACTCGATTCGTCGTTAAAAAGACGGAGAGACTCGGAGCAGATCTTTACCCCCATCCAAGAACTCAGTCCCTCCAACAGATGGTCCTCACACGGGGGACAGTCTAGACCAACATCAAAGTCAGGAACAAACAAGACCGGGACAGTCTTCAGAACCAGACCTGGACCCGCTGAGACCCGGTCTGAAGAGGAGAGGAGGATCTGTGCAGTTTGAGGAGGAGAACGACTTCACCCCGAGATTTCCCAACAGTGACGGAGGCCGACAGATGGAGAGGCCGACAGACGTTTAGATCTGCAGGCGGGAGAGCCAGACACACGCACACACACACACACACACACGCGCACACACACACACACACGCACGATGAGGGGAGATGAGGGGATTTCCCTCCTTCTGCTGTTGGTGTCTCATTATCTGGTTCGTGGTCCAGAGAGGAGACCGTTTATCCTCCTTATGGACCCGACTCTTAATGAGCCGGGTTTAAGGGGGCGGGGACATGAAAGGGTTAAACGGCGCCGTGATCATCAGAACACGGGAATACGGAGTGGAGCCGGATCAACGATCATCAGAAACCTCATCCTGAACTCTGCTGGACACTCAGAACCAGGTTCAGAACAGAACCGGGTTCAGATCCTGGCCTTTGTAGTTCCTGAAAGTTCTCTTAGACCCGGACCAGTTCTGGTCTAGTAGACCCCCCCCCCCCTTCAGTGATATTCAGAGCCCTGTAATCCCCCTCCTCTCGTCCCCGGTCTGGGTCTGACCCTCCTGACTCCACGCTCTCATTAGTCTCTTTATAATCGGGGTTCAGGGACTGTTGATGATCGCCATGACGACCACAAAGCGTCTTCACCTCCACTAAAGAGCGGATCAGACCGCTAAGCTGCGAGAGCCGCGCCGACACCTAACCTCGCCAAAGCCCGGCCTTTCCCCGCTAATCCGCCGTAATTACAGAGACACGTCCTGTGACGGAGTGTGTGTGTGTGTGAGTGTGTGTGTGAGTGTGTGTGTGTGTGTGTGTGTGTGTGTGTGTGTGTGTATGTTTGTGAGTGTGTGAGTGATCAGGAGTGTGTGTGTTTGTGAGTGTGTGTGTTTGTGAGTGTGTGTGTTTGTGAGTGTGTGTGTTTGTGTGTGTGTGTGTGTTTGTGAGTGTGTGAGTGATCAGGAGTGTGTGAGTGATCAGGAGTGTGTGTGTTTGTGAGTGTGTGTGTTTGTGAGTGTGTGTGTTTGTGAGTGTGTGTGTTTGTGTGTGTGTGTGTTTGTGAGTGTGTGAGTGATCAGGAGTGTGTGTGTTTGTGAGTGTGTGTGTTTGTGAGTGTGTGTGTTTGTGTGTGTGTGTGTTTGTGAGTGTGTGTGTGATCAGGAGTGTGTTTGTGAGTGTGTGTGAGTGTGTGTGTGTTTGTGTGTGTGTGTGTGTTTGTGTGTGTGTGTGAGTGTGTGTGTGTTTGGGACGTTCCTTCGTCAGCAGAGTCGGTGAAACACTCAGTAGTAGGAGGAGGTTTTGATGAAGATGAAGATGCGTCAGATACCTGAGGAAACAAAGAGCTGCTGTATTTGTGGACTCATGACTAATGTGTGTGTGTGTGTGTGTGTCTGTGTGTGTGTGTGTGTGTGTGTGTGTGTGTGTGTGTGTGTGTGTGTGTGTGTGGGCCCGCTCGGGCTGAGGATGTAGTTTCAGAATAAAGGAGATGACGATCACTGAACAGACGACTGAATGGACTTTTATTCTTAGAAGATCTGCAGCCAATCAGAGTCCTCCTCATCATCACCGTGGGCTCTGATTGGATAACAGCGTCTCTTCCTGCCATTAAACAGAGGGAGAAACAGAGAGTTCTCGTGATTACGGCTGTCTGTAATTCACCACGAACTTCACCTCACAAACAGATCTGGTAGAAATCGGCAGAAGGTGAATATTGTCACCGTTCAGTTTTAGAGCCGTTCTGGATACGGTGGAAATTGGGGGCTAGAGCTGGTCCAGACCGGCCCAGTGGTTCTGGTACCTAAAGTGACCACAGCCTGAAGTGGACTCTGTCTGGATGCAGAGACCCTGACCCCTGTAGTCTGGGTCTGAGGAGGTTTTCTGAAGGAGTCAGCTGATTGATGAGGATGAGGAGGGTCGCTCCGGTCGCCCCGGTCGCTCCGGTCGCCCCGGTCGCTCCGGTCGCTCCGGTCGCTTCGGTCGCTCCGGTCGCTCCGGTCGCTCTCTCACTTTCAGGTCTCCGGCTCGGACGCCTGAACCCAGAGCAGGTCTGGTTTGTTCTCCTGGTGTCAGACGGGTCCATAAACAGTCGGGTAAACCGCCGGTCTGTTGCCTGGTTACTAATCACTCTGCATCATTTATGACTTCCTCATCACTAATTCAGCGGCGGCGGCTCGATAGCAGGCGTGGGCCGCACGCTCCTCCACCTCATATTGTTTTTATAATCTATGTTCATTACCGCCGACCCCTTCAGAACCGCTGCTCCACGGGGAGGGAGGAGTCAGAGAGGACAAACTTCCTCCGGTGCGGTGTCTCTGAGCGCGCTCAGATCAAAACTGCCTGATTGTTTGTTGTTGTTGTCACGGCGCCCCCTCCTGTCTGTGGGTGAATTAAAGGTTTTTAGTTTGAGTGTGTCATCGGAGTCAAACGCCAAGATGGAGCCCCCCTCATATGTTATAAACAGAATGATCCGTCTCCAGAGCCTGTTGGACTCCCATGGTGCATTGCAGTCATGTCCCCCTCCCTGTTAGCTGGCAGCAAAAGGCTGAGTCTATAAATCAGGGAGTTTGGAGACGGGTGGAGGCTGCCGATAGTCTGTTTAGTCTGCTGATGGTGACGGATGAGAGTGAGGCTGAGGGAGGAGGAGAGAGGAGGAGGAGGAGGAGGAGAGAGGAGGAGGAGGAGAGAGAGGAGAGAGGAGAGAGGAGAGAGAGGAGAGAGGAGAGAGAGGAGAGAGGAGAGAGGAGAGAGAGGAGGAGAGAGGAGAGAGGAGAGAGGAGGAGAGAGAGGAGAGAGGAGAGAGGAGAGAGAGGAGAGAGAGAGAGGAGAGAGGAGGAGAGAGGAGAGAGGAGAGAGAGGAGGAGAGAGAGGAGAGAGAGAGGAGAGAGAGGAGAGAGAGAGGAGAGAGAGGAGAGAGGAGGAGAGAGGAGAGAGGAGGAGGAGAGAGAGGAGAGAGGAGGAGAGAGGAGAGAGGAGAGAGAGGAGGAGGAGAGAGGAGAGAGGAGAGAGAGGAGAGAGAGGAGGAGAGAGAAGAGAGGAGGAGGAGAGAGAGGAGAGAGGAGAGAGGAGGAGGAGAGAGAGGAGAGAGGAGGAGAGAGGAGAGAGAGGAGGAGGAGAGAGGAGAGAGGAGAGAGGAGGAGGAGAGAGGAGGAGAGTTTACTGAGACCGGGACTGAGGGAGGACCCGGGTCCGTCTGAGTACTGCTGGGCTTAGATTTGATCATTTCCATCATACAGGGAGGACCGATCTGGATCCAGCTGACCCAGGTCTGGAATCCTGGTCCGGTGTCGTGTCAAAGTTAAACGCGATGTAGTCAGGATCTGAGGAGGTTCCAGTTTTTAGGAGAAATCTGAGAGTTTTCCCCTCAGCTCCTCCCCTCCCTCTCTTATGCCCCGCCCACAAACAGACGCTCCTGCTCGCTCGTATCGTTCCAGTTAAATTCAGATATAATGCAGATCAATACTTCAGATCATTACAAATGGGGCCCAGTCAAGGTGAAAGTCAAAAGCATTGGTGCTACTGTAGATGCCAACAGACTACCAGCAAACACAATGTTTGCAGGACTTCTACAACGAGGATAAAGTGACATAGTCCAGGACCCGAGGGAGGACAGTTTAGCGATGGCGCTACAACACGCTACAGCAGGTCCGTTTGACAAGAAACACTTCTGTTACAGACACTTGTCTTACTTTGTTAAAGCGGTTTACCTGTCCAGCAGAAAGGTTACAGGGTCACCAAGATCCCCAAGCGTCCCCCATGGTTTATGTTGACCCGTCTTTTTAGCTCTTGTCCGGTCTACCTCCGTTTTAAGCGCCCGTTATTCCTCCAGAGTCTCCGGTATTTACTTTGTTTTCTTGCTTGTGTCGGCAGTCGTGGCCAAAGGAGGATTCAGACAATTTTCCGAACTTTCTGATTGGTTTCTACTGTCCGATATTGTAGCACGCTAACTTTGTTTGGGCTCCTGAACGACACGGGGGAGCAGCGTCTGCCTCACAACCAATCAGGTTAGAGGAGGTGGAGAACGGCTTTGTTTACAGTCAGAAAGAGCGGACCGCTCAAAAATGTTCAAATGTTGACGACACAGACAGAAGAGAACACAGAGATATCGATATATTAACAAATAATCAATAACTAATAACTATTTAGTCTCGTTTTTATTCATCAACATTATATATTTATTTATAGTTATCGTCAGAAGATCACCGTTTATGTTTCGACTCGTCTTGTTTTCGTCACGTGATAAAGGTTTAAATCGTTCGTTTGTCTGTCAGACGGCGAAGTTTTAGCGCAGATCTGAACTCTGAAACAGGAAAATCCTCATGAATAAGTGAGTGAGCGGGAGGATGAAGGGATGAAGAGAGAGAGAGAGAGAGAGAGGGAGAGGAGTGATGGAGTGCAGCGTGAAGCAGAGAGTCGGAGTGAAGGAGTGCAGGTGAAATGAAAGGAGACAAAAGGAGCGATGGCGGAAATGTGGAGGAGAAACGAATGAGGCGAGGAGAAGGAAGGAGGCGAGTGAGCGAGGTTCAGAGGAGGAGGAGGAGGAGGGAGCGATGGAGTGATGGAGGAGGAGAGGACAGGAGATGGAGAATAAACGACAACAATGAGGAGAGAATGAGCGTTTGATGAATGGAGGATGAAAACGAGTGGAGCAGAGGAGACGAGTGAGTGAATGTAAATCAATGAAACAGATTCATATTAAATATCAGCACCACTTTCTCCCATAATCCATCACTTCACCTCATTACTGCGGCGCTCTGAGCGGCTCTAAAAACTTCCTCTGACTCCGTTAAACTCGGGTCTATTTTTAGATCCTCCGAGTTCAAACACCGAAATATTAAAATGATAAAGAAGTTCTGAAGGATCAAAACGAGCTTTAAAAACAGCTGAGAGGGTTTATGGTTCTGATGGTTCTGATGGTTCTGATGGTTCTGATGGTTCTGATGGTTCTGTCAGGTTCTCTCTTTTTCAGACCACTCAGACCCGGTTTGGTTCCTGATCCTCTTCAGT